GCCCCGAGAAAAGGGGGTCTCCCAGGATCGAAGGTCCACAGGCGTCTTATTGAGAGCGGAAAGGGATGAGGTCCCGAGGGGGACATCGCCATTGGGGACTGTTCAGTCAGCTTGCTGGAAAGGGACATGTGCAGGTCCCTCGGCGGATGGCTCAGTGAGCACCTTCCGGATGTGCCAAACAGGTGGTGGTTGGCGGTTCGGAGTCYCGTTTGCACTCTTATAGGGGCCTGCGTGCTTAGCAGCCCCCTTGCAGTCGACGAAGGCGACGTTCCGGGCGTGGGTTTTGGGACCTTGTACTCGAGTTACGGGGGACTCTCTGCACACGCTTTGGGTGGTTTCTAGTTTGCGAGGGACGGGCGAGTCGTGCTTTAGTGGTCGAGCGAACATTTTTGCGGCGCCGTTCAGGTCCATGGTCGTCTCTCTAGGGGGACTTATTTCACGACGGCTCGGTCGTCGTTGGCGGCGTTCGCGGCAGTCGGGGCTTTCCTATGCCGTGGTGCTGGGTTGTGGATCGTTGCGTTCACCCTCGCTCATCATCTTGCGATGATTGGCGCCTGATCGTCGACGGCGGTCCGGTTGGCGCTCGTTTGCAGGGTGTGGAGGCGGAGGTGCCCGTCACCGGCTCTCAGCTTCGGCACCATCGTCCCGTAGGTTACGGGGAGAGTTGTTGCGGCTCTGTTGTGGTGTCGTCTTCGTGTCCGCACTCACAACGGCGCGTTCCGTTTGTGTTGAGGGGGTGTCACGACTTGGTGAGGACGCTCTGCGCTCTTCGCCATCCGAGCGGCGCCATTGAGCGGTGGCGCAGCTGGCCTCGGCCATGCACGCGCTGCTGACCGTATGCGAGGGCGGAGACTTGTGGGATGCGTGATGCACCCTCCGACGGCGTCGCGAGGCTGGGCCTGTCATCCGCCCGAGTTTTTGGAATGCGCGCTTGTGCCCGTCGTGTCCCCCATCCTGTGGCCTTGGTATGCTGCACACCGTAACGGATCGAGTTGCGTCGTGGTTCCGCTGCGTTTGGGTTGTGGGCTTCGAAGGCTACTGTCCTCTGTCTCCTGGGTTTCGCCTGCGTCGAGTGCTGTCTGTGGTACCCACGGCAACCGGCGGATGTGGACCCAGGGGGGAGAGGGGTTGTGTTCCTTTTGCGCCCCCGTGCATAGGTGGAGGCTTTCCGTCCGTCCGGGCGTGTTGGAAGCGTGGTGCATTCGTTTCTCTCTTCACCCACGTTTCTCGATGGAGAGATGAGGTTATGCACTTCGTTGTCGGTACGTTTTGGGCGGGCGGTGGCATCCGGCTGTGGGCCGAAGCTGTTGGTGGTTCCTTCGCGCGCGTCGTTGTTCGGGTAGTGTGGTTAACTTGCGATCTCTGGGTGTGGTGTGGGCGGGTGCTGTTCGGAGCCAATCTCTTGGGCGCGTGCGGCGGGCTGTGTTGGATTGTGCGGTACGTTGCCGTTGGAGATGGCCTACGGAGGGAAGTTCACCTGCAATTCAAACAGCCAGACTTTGCGGCGTCTTGGCAGCTCATTGCACGTTCCACGATTGTTCGACGTTCTTTTGGTAGGCTGTCGAGCGTGACGTGCCTACGTGCGCCTCGGCCATCGCTCCTTGCGACTGCTCATCACACCCGCTACCTGGTTGATCCTGCCAGTACTCATATGCTTGTCTCAAAGACTAAGCCATGCACGTTTAAGTGTGAACACTTTGCACTGTGAAACTGCGAATGAGCCTGAGTGATTTTGTGTGTTGTTTTTTTC